AATGGAGTGAATATTGCTCAGAGAAGTCTCCTAAATATGGTAAGTGTATAAGTTTTTTTTATCTTATCATCATTTGCCGCCGTGTACCATTTCATTTCGACAATTAAGGAAGAACATTTATTCTTTAACATTTGAATTTTACATTACGTATGGCCTTAACTCATTACAGTATTAAACAGACACTATTTGCATTACCATTTGCGACTTTCTCCGGGTTATCTAATATTTAATGGGAGAATGATGAGGAAATGCAGTAAATCTATCTCTATTTGTTCCGGATAACGCTGGGGTTGTTAAACTATGTAGTACATAGGTATGTATATGAATTTATTAAGGTTATCTTTTCTCCACATTCGTGTAAGGTTTGTCACGTGTTATGCGTGAATTACAACAATTCCAATAAATTCGATAAGTAATTGTTTATTGAGTTATCATTGCGTGCATCTTCTCGCGTAAACGGAAATACTATTGGCAATGATAAATGCGATTATACCGATGAAAAAAAGGTATTATTATGAAATAACAAACAATCATCATAAAAGCAAGTTTATGCTACCAGAAGCAAACTAACGTTGATAAATTCATACTAAATTTAAAAATAATATTTTATAAACATGTAATTTAAAATATTATAAATAAGCATTGCATGAGATCTAATAGTTTTGAAGTTTTTTTTTTTACATCAGCAAACAAAAATATCAGAAATCTCATTTTATCTCTAATATAGTAATATAAACGTGCATGGTTGAATATAATACTACTGTATGATGTTGAGCAAAAGAACGCCGCTAAGAGACATAATTAGACCGATAAATAACGCTCGCAGTATAAATGCGGAGTAAATGTGCATCGTTGGCGCTGTTCTTTCATAACCTATGATCGGCTCCCGTTTCCTTTTCGAGCCTTAATGGACATATGTAGAACATAAAAAGAGTTGGAATTCCATCATGCATAATTGCATCACCAATACATCATCCCCATATTATTTATCACTGCGTTCAAAATTTTCCTCATCGTGAAGATACGTTTGAATTTCCAAAACAATTATGGAGATAGTTTTACCAGAATTTAAGATCCTTGATTCACCACCAAGTTCAGATAACAGTTCGATAAAAAAAATTGATATATATGGAGTTAAATCACAGATATCATCATTGCAAAATCATGATCGTAATCGAATCAAATTAATATGTCCCAAAATTAACACTAGCAATTCTTATAGAAATCATGTTGACGATGTAGAACCACGTACGATAAAAAGTCGGACTGAATCTTGTAGTTCCCAACATACTTTGGTGAGCTCAGTTCCTAAATTACTCGAAGACGACAATCCTATCATGGAAAGTCCTGATGAGATGAGCGATGATATACAGATAACCAGTAATGCACAGATAAATGATGATGAACAAAAAACAGATCATTTGCTAACTTCACATCACAAATTACAAAGGGATAAAGCTCATCCTCTTCGGAAACCTACTTATGAACTAAATGCATTGATAATTTTGGTTTCTATTGGATCATATATTCTTGGTTATTTAGGTTTCGCATTTCTTTGGATACTTTTTGTACTTTATCAATGTGTGAGTTGGTATATGAATACATTAGAGAATGATACCGAGAGCATTATATGGAAAACTAAACGTGAAATTTCTATGGACAAAGTATGCGTCTTGTTACTTGGAAAAATTATCAAAAATTTTCTCGTTTATTAAAATTTATTTATGTTTCAAAGTTGAAAAGAGATGAAGGCGAAACTGTAGAATGGTAAACTTTATAAATAACAATTTGTTTTATCAGCCACAGTTTTTATTGTATCTAAAATTTGCAACATATATTTTATAGGCTAAACTATTTATTACTACAAATTTGGCGAACGTTTGATCCATCGCTATTGGTTGGCATCCGAGATATGCTTGAAGATGCATTGTCACGTAGTGCTCCATCTTTCGTGGTTTGTATTTTTTTTCAATTCTTTTTATCAATTTTCCTGTGACCGAAACGAAATATATTAGAAACTTTTCGGAAAAATAAAAGGTTTCCTGTCGCAGGCATAATTTTCATTTAAAGTATAATATTTTGTTATTGACTAAATCTATTAAATAGCGCGCAACAGATATCGAGGCACTTGAAATCGGTTTAATTGCCCCACGAATTGAAAAGTATGTATCTTTTGGCATCTGAATTTTGTATGAAATGTGTGAATTGTTATATTGTTTCACTTATCTTGCAATTCACGTAATTTTTTATTCAACAGTATCAAAATATTTCCACTATCTGAAAGCGAAGATAACGAAGACGTTTTGGTAACATTTCATATCAACATTACCAATTAGAATATCATTATTAAGACCAATTGGATTTTCTCTGATTCTAATAACCTTCTTTGGCT